CTTGGAATTCGATAGGCATTCTATTATTTTCAGAAAAAGGTTCTCGATATTTCTTTTTAAGTACAAGTTCGGTTATATTCAAAATATCATCATGTTCTTGATACGGAAGTTTCATTTCAGCGATTTCCCAAAGTAAGATTCCAAAGCTATAAACTTCACACTTATGATCATATTTGAAATTTGGAGCCCTATCTAACAATTCAGGAGCACAATAACGAACACGTTCTATATTTTCCTTTTGGTTTGTTGTGGGTCCGCTCGCGTGGCGGCTTAATTTAAAATTTGCAAGTTTTGCTGTATCATTAACCGTAATTAATATACTCTTTGATCTGATGTCACGATGAACAATCTAAAAAAAAAAATTAAAAATGAATTAAAAAGATTTGAGTGAGCTATTAAATAAATAATTAAAAATGTATGCTTATGCTTACCCCTACAGATCTTAGAAAATTTAATCCACGAGCAATATCAAGAGATATACGTAACTTTAAAGTTTCATCAATTCGTCTTTCATGTGCCGTATAAAATTCGCGTAAATTTCCAAAATCAGCCCATTCCGTTACCAAATACGATTTATTTTCATCATAGGCAAGTCCATAAAATTTTATGATGTTTGGCCAATCTTGAAATTCTTTAAAGATTGTAACTTGATTCCGTATGCTATTTTTATCTTCTAAATCAGAGATATTCTTAAATGCAAATTCTCGAGCCTCATTTTTAATATCAAGATATCGAGTAATACGTCCTTTATTACGCTGATCATGAGTTTCTTTATAATTTGAGAATACTAATGTATGCCGTTCCGTGAAAATGGAATCAATTTTCTTTTGATTAATTTCAAAATTATTGGTATCCTTTCGTATTGAACTTTTATTTTGCTCGTCAATTAATTTTTCCATCTTATTATTCATTGTATAGATATTTAAAACCATTGAGGAAAACTTTCCTTTAAGTTCTTTGACGTCAGTTCCAATTTCTTGGACGTCAACTCCCATTTCTATAAGGTACTACGATTATTAAATGTGATAATTAATGATATGTTTAAATCGAATTCCGCATAGTGGGTAATGAATCTTACTTTATTTATATCATCTTGATCAGATTTTAATTGTTCAGCTTCGTCCTCAGCACGAATTTTTTCTTTAACCAATATGGTAAAACTCAATAAGTTTATCCAATTATCAAATTCTTTACATAATTCCTTAAAAGTTTTCTCAACACTTTTTGCCTTGAGATGTTTCATCAAAGTATTCATTTGAGAAATTTCTTTCGCGAATTTTTTAATATTTGTGATAACATTAACCAAATTTTGTAAATACAAATAATTATTATTAACAAAGAAGTCTTTATTATCATTTCTTGGAATTCTAAGGTCAAAAACAGCCAATTCTGCCGCATGAACTCGTTGTAATAATGCTTCACAAGTTCGTTTATTATGCTCAGCGGCTTGTACGATTTCAACAATTTCGTTAAGTACATTTGCAATTTCGGAAATTAAGGGCATAAATCTTGTGAATGGAACTGCTGCTGTAGCAGCTTCTCCGATTGCCATCGTTAATTTTACCGTATTTTTGACTATGGGTTCAGCAATATCTGCAACGTCATCTATTTTTTTTGCAGAATCTTTCATTTCAATTTGTGAATTTTTTATTTATTTTATTTTTTTTTTGTTTTTTATTTTTTATTTAATTTTTTTTTAAAGGGAGCGGGTCTGTTATTTTATTTGATATATTGTACCATGTTACCTTTATATTTGATAGCATTTATTTGTTGTACCTTTGTTTAAAATCACTTAAAAGATAATCAAACATCCACTGTGCCACTCATTTTACCCGACTGTGCAATTTGAAAAATAAAAAAAAAGCAGGTATTCCATTCATTCACCTTGGACGTAAATTATAACATCTTTCAATTATTAGATTATTAAAGCATTTTGGTAATTCCAAAATAAAGTTTCATTTTTTCCGTTGGAAATATGATGATAATACTTCTGGGTAAATTTTCAAAGAAATAACCAAAAAAAAAAAGTTGTATCCAAATATTTCCGTGAATTGTAACAAATACGGGTCATGGGGTTCAATTTCGAGTTAGCATGATGGAAATTCGCTGTTTTATTTTATCATCAGATTGAATATGATTGGTTAATATATAGTGCATTCATATGTAAAAGAGCATGATGGAAGTTTGTTTTGATTGGTTTATATTTGTGATCTACATGAAAATTTACATCAAATCAAAACCAATGAAAATTTTTAAATTTTCATCACGTGTATATTAAACGATTAGCAAGTACGAAAGAATATAATAAGCGCATTAAACTAAACATAAAAAAATGTGTATACAAGATATATATGGTAAATGCTAGTAGTAAAGTTAGCGTGTTTGTGTAAAATAACTTCATATTTAATTTTTAATTTAGAAAT